AGCAATTAGGGAATAATGTTCCGTTATCAGTGGTTCTAACTAATCAATATGAGCATCCACTATTAATTAATATGATTTAATATTAATTAATATAAATAGGTCATGATTTCCAACGAAATTTTTGACGGAATTTCTGACAGAAATTTTTGACGGAATAATCCGTCAAAAAATTTTGACGGAATAATCCCATCGGAAATTTCTGACGAAAATTCTGTCGAAAATTTCTGACGGATTTATTTTGATCCGTCGGAAATATACATTTTCCGACGGATTTTGATCCATCGGAAAAAAAATTTCCGATGGATTATCCGTCGAAAATTTATGTTTTTCTTGTAGTGGAACATGTACAAAAGCCTCTCCCAGAACAGCTCGTTTCAAAACCAGAACCGCCGGTTCTGAGTCAATATTTTGTTCTATAAAACCACATCCGGAACGGCCCGTTCCCAAAGTGGAACAGCCCGTTCTGGGTTGAAATTTTACCCATACATGCTCGAGTTGGAACTAGAGCTGTTAAAATGGGCTTGGCCCGGCGAGCCAACCCGGCTCACCACGGGTTCGAGCCGGGTTGGGTTAAAAAAAATTTGAAAATTTTAATACGGGTCAAATTTGAACCCGGCTCACCACCAACCCGGCTCACCCGGGTTGAACCCGTGGTGAGCCGGGCTGGCCCACCGACCCGTGATTAAATTTTTTTTTTGAAAAAAATACAATAATTATTGGGTCATGGTGCAGTCCAACATGAGACAATAATAATTTAATGTTGGATTGTGATTTGTAATTTGTGATTTTGGATTGTATTTGAAGTTTAAGATAATTTTGGATTATATTTATCTATTTGAGATTATTTAGATTTGATTTGATTGTATTTAAAATTATCATTTAATGTTTGGGATGAATAATTCATTTAAGGATGTCTTAATTAAGAATTTCATATTTTTAAAATAAGTTTAAATTTTTGGGCTTTAGTTGTATATTAAGAAAAAAAAATGAATTTTTTTTTAAGGTGAGCCAACCCGTTTAACCCACCAACCCGTGGTGGGCCGGGTCGGACTCAATTTTTTTGAGTTCACTGATATATGAGCCGGGTTGGGTTGACCCATCAAATGGCCAACCCGTGGTGGACCGGGCCGGGCGGGCTGGATAGCCCGTTTTGACAACTCTATATGAATGTATATATGCAACCAACACAAACTTCATTGCAACATTGCTATTATTATTTCCCACTTAAATTTAATCTTCACGGCTATTAATTAATGTATTTAATTTTTCAAGGATCCATTACACTATTAAAAAAATATTACATATAATAACATTAAAAAAATGTGACTATAAATATAATATATGAAAATATATATTTATTTAATATATAATTATACATAATGTTAATTTTGAATAAGATATTTAATAACATATTTTATGAGTTATTATAATTTATATCTATACATTTTTATAATATATGAATATATATTATTT